AGCTACTCTGCCTTCCACATCATCTCTTACACACACACACACTCACTCACTCACTCACTCACTCACTCACTCACTCACTCACTCACACACATTAAAGCTCTTAAAGCATATAATATATATCAGGCTCCAGCCCATGTATATGTTATGATGTGAAGCACTATTTGGTTTCATGAAAAATATCAACTGTTTATTTGTAGATATCTACTAAAGCATACAAATAAAGTGTGTAATGTAATGTAGGCCTGTTACTTATATTATTGAGTGATATATATTATACACACTGTTCTGCTTTCTGCACTGGCCTCAGCAGCTGTTCTCACTGTAAATGTCGGCTCACAATTAAAGCAGTTGTATTAAAAAAATACATAGCCTAATATCCAGAGGACATGCGTTTAGTGAGTAAACAAACGGTAAAGGGCAGAAATTCTGATGCACATTTGATCATCTTAAATAACTTATAATCACAACGGGAACAGTTTGCAGAGCTGTGCTTCCTTGACATTAGCTGCGTGCGGATAAGTCCAGCTTTGTTTGACAATGTTGGCAATCTAATGTTTAGATGACAGTATTAACCTGTTATATTGTAAGTGAAAGGAGCTATCTGTGCAGTATAATGGTTTTATTACAACCTGCCTGTTGAACCGTTAATTAGCCTTGGAGAATATGTTCCATTGAAGAGAAAGTTATGCTTATTGTTTGCTGTATAATATATTTAAGTCACTGATTCTCATTCTACTTGTAATTGTGTCTTTCTCTGTTACCACACATACATATAGTCCAGGGCTGTCGACTTTAGAGTTCAGCTTGGAGTGAGATGACAATATTAGTTTTTGGTACACTGATTAATTGTGATGCTATTAATTGTGTACTGCACCTCTTTCCATTAGTCTTTACTCTTTTCAGTGAAAATATTATATTTCCTACTGTTAATATGTGTCTATTAACTGTTCATGCTTATCTTTAGAGTTTAATGTATTTTAATTACACTTACACTTATACCTGTTTACATCCTACTATCTCGCAACTATAGCCTGTTGTGAATAAAGTTTAATTTCATTTACACCCGGTCTCTGTTGCCTGAAATCGACTCCGGAGGATACATCAGTGTACCCTCGGTTATAGCTCCTCCAGAGAGACTCCTCTCTCCTCTCTCCTCTTAATCAGTGTATCCTCAGTTACGGCTCCTCCAGACAGCCTCCGCGATAATCGATCCTCGACGAGCCTTTAGAGAAATTAGTTTTCCTTCGAGGAGGCGCACCGACATCCGTTTCTGGGTCGCTGCCGGAGGAATGAGGAGTCGAGGACGTGAACATTTGAGAAATTATAAACGGCTCATTTCGGAGGACTCGCGCGCGTCTGCTTGACGCCGGGACGACCGGCGACCCTCCCCGACAGGCGCATAGACGCGAAGGCCCGCCCACAACTGCGTGCACGTCTGTGACCGCAGTTTTAATTTAAGATTGTTTACCTAGTAGTAAGGAAAGCTGTGATGTTCCAACCTCATCTGTGTTTTTAGCTACATTACATACATAATATTGTTTTTTTTGTCCTGTATTTGCTATGTCAAACTCTTACTGAAAACATTTAATACGCCTCTTGGATGTTTGGCTTGTAGTTACAGCCTCCTTAAATCTTTTAAGTGAGTATAACTTATCATACACTTGCTCGCAAGACTCAAATAATTATCTACTTGACTGCACCAATGTCCGTCTGATTTATTTTGTTCACTATTGTTTTCATCATTATTCGTCACTCTTTGCTTTAACAGCCTGTCCAAGTTTGTTTTGGCTCGAAGCCTTTAAATATGAATCTCTTAAATATGTATGACTGTGATTTACTCTTGATGTTCTAGAAAACCTTTAATCAATATGAATCAAATCAATAATTGTAATACAATGCCAAAATAATATCTAATTTACAGAGTTAAGTATATATGCTAATCTAAGTGATTTGCACACTTGATATGCCTGATACAGATAACCCTTACAGATGTGTTTTCACTCCTGTATGCTCAGTATGAAAAAGTGAGGGGAAGTTTGTGCAAGATGTACAGAAAGAGGTATTCCTCTGATTGTGTGACATGGTTTCATGCTGTACTGTAAATGCTGTGACTAAGTAAAGTTGTTTTGATTGCGTTGTTTGATATGAGATAAGGAACATTTGTTATTTGAATCATTACTGCTCAATTTGAGTCTTCACTGACCTAAGCTGCTAAAACATGGAGCAAACTTACTGTTTAAAGAAGAGCTAAAGGAATTAGTTTGAGAACCTCAAACTTAACTTAATGAGGTTTAGGAATATTGACATTAACTATAATCTTTTAAAAGTAATTTCTTCCTTGTGTGGATTGGACCTTTTGCAGAACAAACATGTTTGTTTTTATCATTAATTATCATCATTTTAATGTGGCTCAAAAAATTGAATGTTTAAAACAAGGTTTCAGAGGATTTATCGTGCCAATCTTAAGATCTGGAATGTGGCCTTTGTTTTTTCGTTAGTAAATAAAGCAATTTGTACCATGCCTCAGCCTTACCTTGACAATTTGTTTTTGTTTCTTGTTAAACATCGCACATAGAACCTTTAACTTATTTAACAGATGTTATATCTGGCTTCGAAAGCAGATAAAGCACTCTGAACAGTTTACACTTTGAACTGTGTATCACATGTTCTTTATCCAGATGAAGTTGCCACATTACAGTACATTTTATTACTAGGTGATAATTGGGCTAAAAAGAAACCTGGCATAAACACTGGATAATTCAAGCATTAATGTGCAATGTGACTACCTTTTGATTTGGATGAGCTGGTCCTAAATACGATAATTACAGTAATTGGTTTTAGTATTAAGCACCAACATGAAACTGTGATTAGGGTAATGCCTTTAAATGTAAGTTTTACTGCCGGCGCTTCATTTATTACCAAAACAGTGTCAGCAGAACTCTACAAACAGGTGGGAATGGCATTAAAGGAGCCGTGAGGGCTAAGGGGTTTTCTGTCCAAGCCCACCAGATGAATAGACTGACTGGCTCTTTTCTTACAGTATACAAATAAAACCTAATTGCATTTTGTTAGAGTAGGATTTTTCTGACAAATAACCTATTCAGCAAAATAATTGTTCCTTTTGCCTTCCCATCATAAGTCAATAAAAAGGCTTTATTTTGTTCTTGTACAGTATGTATAAGAATATACTTTTTGTGACCTGTAATTACAGACAAAAGCAGAAAGCATTATTGGAACAGACTTGTTTTGTTCTTTCACTGTTTTCTCCACATACAGTAAGGTCTAGATGTCTATGTCACTATGACCAACGTCCATCCTATTATCCTAAATGAAATATCTCAGGAAAGCCTTGAAGGATTTTATTTTTTTAATTTGGCATGGACATCCTCTTGGACTCAGTAATGAACTGATTAGAATGTTTGGACAGACCTGGATCTTACCTGCAATTTAACTATTTGGAGGAGCAATTCAACTCAGCAGCGCCTGTTTTTTGTTGTTGTCAACTTTAGACCCCGTTTACACGAGGACGATACGGGTTGTATCCGCATTAAATACAAAAACGTAACTTCAATAACAGCAATAATAATCCTTAGTCAGATGTAAGTGTTTTTCACTGCGAGCAGTTCAGCATTAATTGTCACAACTAAGCACACACTACTGTGTCAGATGTATCAAATGCTAATAACTTCTGGCACCTGTAAACATATTTCATGATCAAAACATCTCTCTTCATATGTTTGAAGTTGTGCTGATGATGTTTGAATATTCAATCATATTTATGTCAACAAGCTAATTATTAATTGACAACTCCTGAATGTCTTACAATATTTGGCACTTTCTTGCCTTTGCCCCTTTACTACCATAGTATGTGTGTTATTTGAATAAACGTTCAATCCTATACTTGTAGTTTAGAAAGACATCTTTTACGTCATGTCTTTTTGTTTATGAATATTTCATAACTCTGCATGTTGTTGTGTCTCTGCACCCACTGCACTGATGCTCCAGTCAGAGCTGCGTGTGTGCTGCTGGCAATCTGCATGTTGTTCTCAGTTGGGCTGTGTTGTTGTGATATGATGTGATTTTTGTGTCTTAAGTGTCAAAAACACAGGATAGAGTTGAGGGACCTAATCGATATTGCAGGCAGTAGTGATTGATTTATTACTTGTGGATTTAGCACTCTCTCTTTCTGCCTCTAACTCTCAGCTAGAGGGAGGTGTTCTGCTTATTCACACTTACCATAGTCCTTTACACTCTGGAGTGGAAAACAGCATAGTCATTTATTTCAAGTGTTGAATAAATTTGGCTCAGTTAACAGTTAACCAACCCTTATCTAATTTACGAATATCAGTTGTTTATGGAAAATAGATTTCCCCAAAGATTTTACCTCGTTTTATCTAATACATATTCAGTTGTTTATTAAAGCACAGATGATAACAAGTTGATTGTATTTTTCTCAGTTTTCCCTCAAGAATCAATGCAGAACCTGCAAACTGTTTTATTAATGACTGGAGAGACATACTGCAGCTATTTGTGAAGCACTTATATCGCCCAGCTTCATTTTTAGAGCATGAATAATGAACACCTACATTTATGTTGCAGAATAATGGGTGTCAGAAGAGTGTTTCTATAAAAGCTTTTTTCTTATGTTACAGTGTTGTTTACTCTCTTATGGTAACCAGCACTGGCTTTCAGGATGACATTTTGTGAAAAGTAAATGTTAATGGTGAAGTGCTGCCTCACCTCTATGTGAGTTGCTTATTACAAAAAGGCCTGGCTTTTCCCAAGGGCATGAAGTTGTAAGTTGAATAGATTCATATGTAATTAAAAAGGCCTTAATATTCCAGCATATTTGTTAGTGCCTGTATGTTTATTTTTAGGTGACTTTGGGTCAAATATAGCCCTTCAGTCTCTTAGTTAAAGTCAACTAAAGTGCAATATGTGATATTTAGAAAAATGACATGCGCTTAACCTTCTGCCCTCTTTTGATCTTGTCTCCGCAGAAATGCATGAAATTCAATGTGGATGCTCCTATCTGGCTGTCGAAGCAGCAGATCCTGTGTACTCTCAACCAGAGCCTGAAGGATGTACTCAACTATGGCCTCTTCCAGCCGGCCTACAACAGCAAGGCTGGCAAGTTTCTGGATGAAGAGAGACAGCTAAGGGAATACCCCTTCCCCTCCATCGCTCCTGTACCTTACCTGGAGGTAGGTATGGATCATGTGTATGTATGAGGCTTTAAAGAGTGTTCGCAGGAGAGAGCAGGAGGCGGAAAAGAAGTGCTACATGTCACCACACCATGCATAATCTTTCTGTATGTACTGTACCTTATAATCCGCCAGACAAAACAGGAGAACAATCAATTCACACAGCAGCTCATTCCTTAAAACAGATTCAGATTGCTTACAATAAGAGGAAATATGAAGGGTATATTTGAAGGTTGTCATGTACATTTGTTATTGTTTTTTTTTCTTATCAACTTGAACATGTTTTCAACTTTAATTGACTGAATTTATTTGAAGATTGGGCTTATTAACACATGAAAACTGTGTAATATATTTGAACATGTATATTTAAGAAGTACAATATAAGACAAGCAGAAGTTTATTATACTTAAGTCATTATACTTTTTGAATTAGCTGAGGGCCGATTCAAAATGGTCCGCGGGCCGTAGTTTGGACACCCCTGGTTTAAAGTTAAGAAGACTATTGTAATGTAGTGTGATCTGGGGTCATTTACCTACTTTTCCCATTTAGTAAACCAGCCTTGGAAAAAGGAAAAGGGGAGATTAAACAGATAAACCAAAACAATTTCCCGGAGTAAGCCTCATTAAAACATGCCAGATTAATATGTAACCACAACGTTGGGGTATGCAGTATTCAACAAACATTTCAAATCAACCTTTGAGGGCCACTGTAGTAGATCTTTGTATAGACTAAACACACAATGCCTCATGTCATTTGTCACCCCTCTTAAAGCTTTTGTTACTGTAGACAATCCGCTGTAGCCTCTTTGATGTTTCCTTTATATATTCGTGCATGCTTCACAGGCGCACACATGCAGGCTTATACAGCGTGTTGGTGTGTGTGTGTGTGGATCATTGTGTATGCAGTGTAGGCTCTTCCTGTCAGGATGTGTCAGTCAAATCTAGCAGCAATAATACCAGGCTCAATCACACTATATGACAGTCTGTTGTCTGCGGTGGCTGTCATCTCTTGGAGATAATTGTTGTGCTTGTCCATCATGGTTTATGATCTGAGAGTACGCAGGCATACATGTGTTGCAAGATGTGTTGCTTTACAAACAGCGGTGTAAAGATTCCAGGGGATTTTCTGACTAACCTTGGTTGTTTTGAGTAGTTTCTTTTAGTGATAAAGAGCATTAAACAGATTGACTTTGAACCTTGTGCCTCAGTCATCCTTTGATGCTTTGGGAGAGATATGGGTATTATTATGAACTATATTTTTTACACATGATTGTCCCAAATTGCACTTTGTCTTTTAATAACAGTACTTTATTTTGTAGTGCAGATTGGCTTTATAAACAGTTATGAAATGATGCAGAACCTCAGTAGCTGAGTGGTTCAAGTGTATGCCACATAATCACATCATTGGCAAGGATCTTTGTTGTATATCCTCCCTCCCTCCCTCTCCCTGTTTCCTGCCTTTTTATTCTTTGTCCGATAAATGCGAGAAGAAAATGATGAAATGTTGATGCTAATGTCAGGGCTCCAGGATCAATATCAGTGGAATACCATTTTGCTGTCTGCCTGTGGGAATTGGAATATGTCAGGAACATCAGTGTGTAACGATCAACTATCAAAAATAGCTGTGTTAAATAAACGCACAAGGGGTTCTTGATATGAAATAATATTATAAAGGCAAAACAGAACTGATAAACGGACAATCTACTCTTTCCCCACAATAGTCCCCACTGAAGTGTATTTACTACAGTCTATATCCACACATTCACAAAATAAACAAAGACAGGTTTTATACGCTATTCAATTATATTGACAGTTTTCCAGCCAAGCAAAACACAAACAAAACTCAACAAAAAGTCCGCTCGGCGATAAACCGAAATTGTCTTTACTGCCTAATCCAGGCCACTATAGTTCATTGATTAAAAAAGGCTGTTGCTCCTGCGCCCGTTGGCAGCAAAAGCAGAAATGTTTGTAGGCCTATTCAGGCTATAATCCACAAAAAATGAAAACACGATGATCGGCGTGGCACAAAGGAGCGATCTCACCCTGTGTTGGAGAGAATCTCTCTCTCTATCTGGGCGCGTCCTCTCCACGGAGAAGTGCTTCTTGGTCGGTCGATGCAATATCCACATTCAGTTATTTTCAGTTACTTCCCCGCTGCATTTTAACATATATATACATGCTGAGGAAACTTAAATATCCCGCTGAATACCCGCATTCGCCACACACACACACTTCCTCTTCCCGTGAGAACCAACCACTGGCCTCCAGGTGACGCGCCCACTAAAAAGCCTCTGGGCGCGCCGTGACGGGTGAATATGCAGATGAGGCTTAATGACCCACACCCTCAAACCGTACATAACAGTAGACATTAACAACTGCAGAGGATAATATACATGTATCATAGTTCATTTAATTTCATGATAATCAACATGCCTTAAACCTTTTCCCCTGCCACTACAGTTTAGAAAAAACACCTTAAATCAATGTGCGGCCGTCACAAGTGACATGCTCTTACAAATATTATAATAATACACCAGTAGAAAAGCTCTGATAAACGCCAGTACTTTACGAAACAGCAGCCAAACTGTATAGCCTACATAAGGGAAATGACTTGTTTTATCAGTTTAAACTCCACCATTAACTCTGTGGTTGGTTTACAATCCAGCTGAATAAGTGTGGGTTCCGATCAGTGTGTGTGTGTGCGCGCAAGTCTCTGCTATTACCCTGTTGGAGCATTGTGTGGTTTATTGATTGACCAGCAGTTATTCCCTAGAGCCTGTGGAGTGTAGAAATGATTGACAGGTCTGGATTAGCAGCTCAAAACCGCTCTGCTCCACCGTGGATTTGCCCCATCGATGAACACCACACCACATGTGAATTCTTGCGTACACACTCACACAACTGGAATAGTTTGCCAGTCCCAGAAAGTGAAAGTTACGTATATTTAAAAACTATAACAGGCTGTCAGTGTTTGGTGATCCATGTCCATTAAATACTCTGCCTATTAAACAAGTGGGTAAATAAATGCAGCTTTCTTATTGTAGTAAACTTTGAAACAATCCATTCTCAGTTTACTGCTTACATGGCAAACTGATTAGATTGAGGCTCTACAATGCGCAATGTCACACTTTTTTATTGCAGAATATTTGCCATGTTTTTCTACCTTTTATTACCTTTTTTACTTTTTTCTTACACAGTATAATGTCTTTTCAGGTTTTGTATAACCCAATCAAAGTCTGGTCTTCGGAGTTCAGCAAAAAAAAAACTCATTTACTATTTGACATACTGAATTTATATTTACGGTTTTGGAAACAATTTTTACTCTAAGTGGGGAAAAAACACTGCCTCAATCGACTTGTCTTTTTTAATTTGTCAAACTTGTATGCAAAGTCCCTCCTGCAAATTTATACTGAAACTTCAAGGAGCAGTAGATGGCTTTTCAGGCAAGATGTAATATGTGGAAATGATGACAAGTCGGACAGATGGGATAGATGACAGCCGTATACAGAGAGATATTTGATACCTTCATTTCATATCATGGTTATTGAATGACTCAAAATGTCTCTCCGCCATATCTTCCTCTCTATCTCTCTCATGCTTTTTCTCTCATGAAAAATAGATTTGATGTAGTGTGGTCTGCTGCTCTGATACCGTGTGACAAATCCAACTAAAGTGACGTTGATAATTCACATTATTATATTTATTTTGTGTGCATTTTGTAATACAGTCAAAACATACAACAAAAACAAAGGATATAACGTTTGCTCCTGTTGTGTTTCAGTTCCGCTATAAAAGACGTGTCTACACTCAGACTTACCTGGATGAAAAGCAGCTGTCGAAGCTCCACACCAAGGTAAGACCAAACAGCTGTTAACTCTGTCATCAGGACTTCTGAAGAGCTGATGCTTTGTGCCACCTTTTAAATGGAGTGAACAACACATATGCTGCACAAAGCACTTCTGCCAAATATTTGATGGCATGGAGGACAAGGGGTTACAGCAAGGGCAGGGGGCTCTGATGCTGGGCTTTCCTCTTTATAAGATTCTTGGAACGAGGACCTTGGTAATAGCCTTAACAAATGTGTTTTTGTACTTTTCTTCATGTGTCATTGAATAACTCTCTTAAGGCCATGCAGTGCCCTAAGAGCTTTGTATGAGGACAGTGTGTGTGTGAGTGAGTGTGTGTGAGTGTGTTTGTGTTGCCATAGCTGTCAAATGAACAGGTGGAGATTACGGTGAGCATGGTTTCCATTCACCATCGCCCCAACCCTACTTTATATTTAATCAATCATGTGTCATTTCTTGTGATGAAATACTCAGCAGGTAGCACTGTAATCTTCTTCCTTCTTCAATACATGATATCCTCCACTACTCAAACACACACACTGGAATATAACACAGCAAGACATCTAATGCTGCACTGATGTGTTCTTCTCTTTTCAAGCACTTCAAAATAAGGCAAATAGACATTTAATAAAAGGCTAAAGCAAAGGTCAGTATGACACAAAAGTATAACAGAAATGTGGGTATTGTTGGGTGCTGTTTTGCATATAGCTGAAATGGGATGAAGATATACAGAAGACTGGTCCAGGAAGAATCTATTTGAACTTTAACCAGTCCGAACTGGAAAACAGAACCAAAGAGGCAATGATGGTAGGCTGTGGTCAAAGGTGGTCAGTGGTCTCAAACGCAGATAGAACTGTGGAGAATGACAAAGCCTGGCACATTGAGTAATGCCCCTAATGGGGTAGAGGTTTGAAAGCAGGTATTCAATCTAGATCATGAACTAAATGACCGTTGGACAGGTTAGGAATTGCAGTTCTGAAATACCAGGAGATATCAGTATGCAGATGAGGTCAAACGAGGATGATTTGTGTGTACTGTTTTGCTCTGCATGGTTTTGCGTGTGTGCTTGTGGGTGTAATTATAATCGGAACAGACAGCAGAGAGAATTTAATGCATTCACATCAAACTCCATCAGAGGACAGAAGATTTACACTGGAGCAAATTAAAGGTGTCAATTGTGTGTTCTGTGTCATAGAAAGTGAGAACAATAGTGCGGAGCTGCTGTTGATTCCAAATCAAGGGACTGCTTTGTTGATCGTTCATGCACATTCATTTCTTTTCAGCCTTGCTATTGTCAAAAGCCCGTTTTCCAATTTCAGCTTTACTTTACTAAGAACAATTGGACTTTAGCATTTCAGCATATGCCTTTTTTAAACACTATTGAAACATTAGATTAGATTCAATGTAATTGACATTGCACATGCAAAGAGTAAATAAAGTACAGAGGAAGTCACAGCTAACAGACATGTATGGGTTACAGTCTATATACAGGTTGTTGCATATGTGTGGCAAGTTACAGACAAGGTGGTATGATGAGTGAAACAGTAACAGATAAGGTGGAGTGGTTTAGGTTACATATATTTAAAAAAATAATAGAACCAGTCTTTCCATGCACTTGGTGATGATGGGGTCAGTGCAACGAAAATCATTTAAACGTATGCCTTGCCACATGCGCCTGTGATCAGAGTTGTTCTGAAAATACTCCTCAATCAGCTGTTTGTGTTGTTGTTTGACCCCCCTGATACCCTCTTCAGATTGGCCCTGGAAGATCTGTATGGCTCCGCTTTCTGAGAACTGGAAGCAGCATTGCATGCCTTCTGCAGAGGTCTGATCATTTCTGTCCAAGGCTTCTGGTTAGGGAATGTCTTGATTTGTTTGTGGGTTGTGATTTTGTGGTCTTCATGTGTTGATATAGTCCAGAAGAAAAAAAAGGCACATGTTTCAACGTCCATGTGGGAGTCCAGAGAGGCCATGGGTAGCAAACAATCTCCAGTCTGTGTGCAGAGACTGCTGCTGTGGTGCAGAGTCTGCCCCTACATGCTGCCTCACATAATAGTGTGATGAATAAAATACCATTAAGTCAGACCACTAAGTACAGCGCTATCAACCCCAATGTGTGACTAATGTTCTTAGATGTGCTTTTCTTGAACTGAAGATAAGATTTATGCTTCTGAGAACGGTTTAAGCTTTGTAGTGAGCTCCATAAATATCCCATAAAAAAATATCATCATATTAGTCATCTCACTATCGTTCTCACCTCTAATATCATAAGATCTTTTTTTCAGAACATTGAATAAGCAAAATACCTTTAAAGTTGTACATTATTACTGGGCTTTGTCTGCTTCTTTACAATGATCACATGTATCTGTTTTTACTAGTTGTGTATGTTTTTCAAGAGCTTTCATGTAAAACAAACTGACAGCATTTAAGTCTATCCAGGACATTTCAAAATACTATTACTCTATTTCTTCTTAGGAAAAGTGGCATACAGTATAGTAGGTCCAATTCCTTGTGAGAGACATTTTAACATTTAGTTTTGGGGAGTAAAGGCCAAATTCTCTGTGTCCTGGATACACAGTATGTTGGACAATTGAAATGTCATTGAAGCTGGTTTCCTAGAAAAAGAGTGAACTTTTAGTTTGTTGGGCTTTTTTGTCCTTCTACTGTTTATGAATGGACAGTGAGTTTTTTCTGCTGTGTACTTCTATTAAGAGTGGAAGAGAGCATGAGAAAGAGAAACCGTGAATGAGAGGGAGACGCAGGAAAGCTGTGATGAGAAGGATGAGTCATACTCTCAAATATTGTCTCTTGTCTAACCAGTCTGGTCTGAGCGGCTGCCGCCTGCGACTGTGCTACAAACTGAACTCCCCCACCATCAGCTTCTGCCCAGCTGCAATTTAGCTGGTAATTTCACACTATAAATCATCTATAAAGAGAGCATGTGTTATGATTGTAGAAGTGGAAATGGTACAAATCTCAAATAGAGAAAAAAGAGTGTGTAACTCAAGCCACTGAGGTTTTCTCACTGCATGAATGGGTGGCTCCCGTGTTGGTTGAGCTTTTTCAGAAATGAGTAATCCAGGACAGCTGTGGCACTTGAGAGGATGAGGGTGGTAATTTGGCAACATGAGCTCAAGAAGCAGCTATAGTAAATTATTGTGTTTCTCTGCTATTAATATGTTTGTCTCTAAACACAGAACCACCTAAACACCATTCATTCTGATATACATTATTTCATATATTTGTTTAAAGCATATGTCTATTGATTACGTCTTTTGATGTTTGTTTTTTTAAATCATTTGTACAGATTAACTTGGAAAGGTCTAATTGCAATAACTATATACATTATCAATTCCGCTCTTTTTTTCTGAATGGCACGTTTGCTTTTGTTGCATAATGACTTCCTGTTGTAAAAAGGGGAATCCTGCTATGGGTGACTCTCTTGGCAGTCAACATGTTCACTATTCATCCTGTTGGGCAGAGGTCAGGCATTAGCCTACTTTGCTGGTATGGACCCCGTTAGCCGCAGGCTAAAGTTTGAAATGAGGTCATAATTGAAAGGATTTTACCATTCTTTTTCCCCTTTACATTCGACCTAACCCGACCTCCTCACTCGGAAACTGTCCTAGTTCACCATGAAGGGGTCTGCAGAGAATATGTGGGTGTTTGGTGTAGGAGGTCAGCCATGTGATGCACAGGGCTGCAGAATGGGGGGCTTTCTTGCAGTGTGACAATAGGTTTCTTGTTATATCAATTGTAATTTATTTTAAATCAGTCCTAAATAAACACGCTCATTGACTGTTTGACATTCAAAACTGACACTGTGTCGTCACTGTATTTCAATGTCCATTTTTAGGTTGCTAACATTTTTTTAAATGGCAGTAAATCACATCATCCACTGATCAAGATCACCAACTTCCTGCTGTCTAACATATGAGGAACAGAGTATGAATGCCTCACTCTATGGATTGATCAGGGCATATCAACGTGACTCTGTGTTCACTACATCCTCTACAGGAGAGCAGATCTCATGCTGTTAAAGGTTGATTAAACTGTTAGACATTATGCCTACTGTCTATACAATATATATTTACAATGTTGGCATAAAAGAAGGATTAATGAAAGGTATGCTGTGTATATATTATGAATTAAGCCCAGGGCATCAGCTCCATAGAGAGGGGAGGGGGTGGGCTGTAACAAACTAAAGAGGCATATAGTAGTGGAGAGCATTTAGTAACGCACTATTTGGCAATGTGGTCACTGACTCAACCGAGCATACTGTCAGAGTAAGGGCTTTGGATTGTGCTTATATCATAACCAGTTGAGAAATGTCACACACAATCAAAACTATGAAATGCTTACTGTTTAGCTAAAAATGACTGTCAGTTTGATTCACATCATGCTCACATCATGTCAAGGTTATTGGTAGTGGACATGTGTGCAAAAATAATTCACAAAAGGCTCCTCTATGAAACGCATTATAGAGTAATGCTATTCCTCCTACACTGACTTCTTGTATTGTTGTTGGCAGCTTATTGTATTTATGAATGAGAATTTCTGTGATATTTTCAATTGACAATAACACTGCACAGAGAATGAGGCTCATTGTAGGTGTATGATTGTTCTGAGATGCCACTGAGGATAAGCAAAGTGCCTAAACCCTCCCATCAGTGCTACAGCTACTGCAGCTTTCATGGAATTTGATGTGGGATTTCTGCATAATACTGTACACACACACACACACACACACACACACACACACACACACACACACACACACACACACACACAGCTTCATGGCACGGGATGAGGGGATGTTTCCATTGGGGAACCCCTCACATACAAAGCTCTCATTATGGAAAGTCCTGTGAAAAGAAGAAACATTTAGCTTTTAAAAAAAGAGTAACAATATCTGGAACATAAGATTGAGATATTGATAATGTATGTTTTTTGTGTTGATGTGTAAAAGCTAATACATACTGTGCATGTGTGTGGAGTTGTGTAAATA